AGACCCCGCGTTCGGTCCACGATAAACCCTGTGGCCACCATGAACGTAGGGTTCTCCCCATCAAATGCACGGACAGCCATCACGCGGATGGTTACGATGGCTGGCATGACGGTGTGGAGCGACGACAGCCACGTCTTGGACGCATCTTGGTTCGTCGCCAGATTGTTCGGAATCGACTCCTCCAAGCGAGCGAGAGCGTCCTGAAGCTTGTCCAGTCGACGGCGGGAGTCAAGCCTGCCGATCGAGCTCAAGTAAACGTACGTGAAAGTCGCGGAAGCCACCGCAGCCACTGCGAGCGATGCCGACGTTGGCACCGACATCCCGTCGATATGACGACCTCGACGATACGATTGGCCAACAACGCGTGTATACATATTGCCTGTGTAGCAATTGAGAGGGTGCAGCGCCAACGTCTCGGCGGCACTCGCGCGCTGTCAACGTCGAGCGCAGGTTTCTTCAACGATGCGCTGCGCCAAGTCCTTTGATGGTGGGCTCCAGTAGCGCGTGGAGCAAACTCTCCCACTCATAGCCCCTTTGCACGAGCTGGACAACGCGGTCGAGTTGACCTCGACGTGTGTCGTTGTTTGTGCACTGCCAGTGTGGTGTCGGGTGCACGCGGCGCAACCTGGTCTTGATCCGCGAATTGTACAGATTCCTTTCACATCTCCACATCGATAGCGAACGCCTCCCGGTCAACCCTGCCCCTCAAGGGACGTGCGCACTCACGGGGAGTTCATGCGCTCTCGTGGTGCCTCGGACGGAGTAAAACGGATGGACAGAGTACATTAAGCTCGCGATCCACTCCAGCCAGCGCCATGCCTTCGAGGTCATCCAGATTGCCCGCACACTACCATGGACTCCACGGCAGTGTCGGGTTGCCGGTAGTTTAAATCCCGACACACTTGCAAGGTGCTGTTCGTGTTTACGGCGCCGAAGAGAATGAGCACGCCGGCGCGCCTTGCCCGTCGCGTCACAGTGGCCCCGCTGCCATCCAGACGGACGTGCATGATATGCAGAGCGTACGTTTTGAAGAATTTGACGTGACTTAGCGCATTGGAGGATGAACGTCCCTGAACAAAACGGTTCATCAGCTTAATGATGGGGCAGAGAGGCGCGATCCTGCAAGGCTGCTGCATTTACGCGAACGAGTCATGGGCCCTCTGGATCCCCCTACAAGCCCCCAACACCCCCGTTTGGTGAGAACTACGAGGTCACGTCTTTGAAGTCGCATCGGATCTGTGTTCAATCGTTCATAAGTAGAACCACATAGAAGAAGCGCAAAGGCGCGCCGTCAACCCCATCAACGGCAAAGGCATCGCCACAGCTTGACGTCGATGATCTTTCGAGCCAAATCGATCGATAGCATTCCGTTGAGTAGGGCGGACGCTGTGTCCAACGAGAGCACGTTGTGGCGAATCCACCGCAGCTAGTAGAACACGCATTTGACCCCAAAGTCCAGCAACTGTGCCTCATGTGGCCGCACGTTGACGTTGGATGATGGCGTTCGAATCACGACTACGGCAGCGATGGAGGCGCTGCATACACCTCGGTATTGCCGAGAATGGCAGGCAGCCTGCCGACTCTCCAATTTTCAATATTCCACTGGACTCAACTTGAACGTCGACTGGATCGACTTGCCAAGTTGGCTTGACGGCATCGAGCGGGTCCCGGGCTCTACAACGGTAAAGGTGGAGTTGTTAGCCCGACACATGAGCTCCCAAACGTCGCATCCTGCCGCATGGGGCTGGCAGTCCAGATGTGTCGTTCCGAATAGCACTCTCCTTGATACTGGTACTGTGGATCGTAGCCATACCTTGGAGGAAGCAGCTGCAGTCGACGGCCGGGAGCGTGCTGTTCGTCGTTGTCATGGTGGCAGCTGCATCGGGAATCCTACGGCGGCTGGGGTCGTACAGTCGCCATGCTTTGACCTGCATTCTAATCCTGGGAATGCATGCAAACGACCAACACTCGACATTGTAGCACACCCAAGCAGATCGTGCCGAGGACGTTCGGTGGGAAGGGGAAGATGGGATTTCCACCACTTTCCAACCACCAATGTCGGCCCCACACGATGCCGTTCGAGCCCACTGGAGCGTACCGTCCGCCGACGACGACGCAGCATTTGCGCTGGCGCTGGCGGCGCAATTTGCCGACGACGATTTGAATGCGGCTGAAATCGCCTCGACCGATGCTGCACTGGCACAAGCCTTGGCCGCTGGTACGATTGAGACCCCAGCTGAGCGCGATGCACGTCCAGATGCGGTTTGGATGCGCCCCTACGATGCAACGTTCGAATCGCACGATTCGTTGGACGAGTGGATAGTCCGCGACGAAACACCCCCCCACGACGACGACGCGAGCAGGGCTTTGGCGGAAGCCTTGGCGGCGCAATTTGACCATGAACTTGCCGTCGAGCTGTCTTTTGCACCCGCCGAAGACCACGATGTGGGCGCGGCATACGCGATGGACGATGGAGACGACGACAGCATCGCATTCGAGACGAACGACATGTCGATCCCTGCAGTACGTGGCCGCAACCGTAGAGTGAGTTGGTTTGGCCAGTCTTCAAAGTCATCCATGCGCAAGGGAGTTCGAATTGCCTTAGACTAACTCGAGAGATCCATTATACCTCCACCTCGATCGACCTCACGCAGCCCCTAAGCCCACGAGGGGGAGGTGGCAGTGGCTTGAACTGCTGTATTGATGTGTAAGTGTACCAACAATTAAACCCCTTCGTTTTTTTCGGATTTTGGACATTTGAGAAATATATTGTCTTCAGAAAATATTTATGCCGGAGAAACAATATGAGTTTATTCGTGCAACGATGGGCCAGCCGACGGCAGCGGCCGTCGTCACGGTGGCTGCTGCTGCAACCGCGGTAGCCACCCTTCTTTGGCCGGCGTCATCCCACAAAGACAGCAAGGCTATAGATGCGTTGGAGACAGCGCTCCACGACCTCCAGCAGCGGCACGCATCGACCGCATCCATCGACAACCACGACGACTGGGAGAAGTCCTTGGACTGGGCACTCGCTGCTATTGTCAGCATTCAAGTCATGCACGTCGCGTCGTTTGATGGTGCGTCGCCCGCCTGCTCCGTGGCCACAGGGTTTATCGTGGACCGAACGCGGGGTCTCATCTTGACCAACCGCCACGTGGTCACTCCTGGCCCCGTCGTCGCCGACGCCGTGTTTGTCAACCACGAAGAGGTGCCGCTCGTCCCGATCTACAGAGACCCCGTCCACGACTTTGGGTTCTTCCGTTTCGACCCGGCCCAAGTCCGCTTCCAAACCGACCTGCCCGAAATTCCACTCCGGCCAGACTTGGCCAAAGTCGGCACGCCGATTCGCGTCGTCGGGAACGACAACGCGGAAAAGGTGCAGATTCTTCCTGGAATCTTGGCCAAACTCGACCGCGCCGCACCGCAGTACGGCCTTACCGGGTACAACGACTTCAACACGTTCTACTACGCCGCCGCGAGCAGCACGAGCGGTGGGTCGAGTGGGTCCCCCGTGCTGAATGCACAGGGCATGGCCATCGCCCTCAACGCAGGCGGCGCGACCAATGCTGCGTCGTCGTACTACCTCCCGTTGGACCGCGTCACGCGCGCTCTCAAGTTGTTGCAACAGGGCGAGGTCGTGACCCGAGGCACGTGGCAAACCATATTTCGCCACGTCCCGTTCGACGAAGCCAGACAGTTGGGCCTTCCACCAGATATCGAAACAATCGTTCGTGAGCTGTTTCCGCTTGGTTTGGGTGTGTTAGTAGTCGACCAGGTGCTGCCCGAAGGCCCCGCCGACGGCTTGTTGCATGTCGGGGACATCCTGGTCAGCGTCAGCGGCGCCCACGTGACAACGTTCATCTGTGTCGAGAGTGTGTTGGATAGTCATGTTGGGCAGTCGCTGAACGTCGAGGTCGTTCGCGGTGGCCGGCTGTTGCACGTGGCCATTCGTGTCCAGGTACCGTCGAGATCGATGGACCATCATGTTGTCGATGTGTTCTTTTGCCGCCCCGTGTCGTCCACAATCTCTTTTCACAGTGACGTTGCAATGTGTGCGTAGGATCTGCATGGCATTTCCCCATGCAAGTATTTCCAAATGGGCAGTACGGTGCTGCATGATTTGTCGTACCAGCAAGCGCGCAACTTGTCGTGGCCTGTGCGGGGCGTGTACGTTTCGAATCCAGGCCACTTGTTCGTGCAGGCCGACATTCCCCGAGGGGCGCTCATCGTGTCCGTCCAAGGCGTGCCCATGTCCAACTTGGACGACTTTATTCGAGTGTTTTCGCCCCTTGCGACGGGCACCCGTGTCTGCGTGCACTTTATCGTTCCGTCTCCACGGCATGTCACGTACTGCGGGATTGTGACTGTCGACCACCGGTGGTTTCCCGGGCAACTGAGGGTTCGCAACGACGACGACGGTCTGTGGCAGTCGGTAGCGACCCAAACGCCGCCGCAAAGCGTCGTTGTCCCTGTTGTCAACCATGCGAACGGTCATGGCAGCGAAACCTCCGTGTTGCCGCCGATACACGCCTCGTCTGCAGTCCCAACGGCCACCACCACCCTCTTGGCTGCCATGGTGATTGTCCGAGTCGATCTCTTGGTCATGGTCGATGGCATCGTGTGGTCGGGTTTCGAAGGAATCGGCTACATTGTCAACGCCACCAAGGGTTATGTCCTCGTCGACAGAGCCACCGTCCACTCGGGTCTCGGCAACGTTGTCATCACGATCGCAGCGGCGCTCGATGTGCCCGCGACGATTCGATACATCGACCCCATGGCCAACTTTGCCATTCTCCAATACGACCCCAACCTCGTCGACCCCCACTCCGTCACGACTCTGCCGCTCAATGTTGCCACCGATCGGTCAACTTCTGACGACGGTACGTGCTCGAACACTGCAGAATCTGTTGCCGACGTCGTTGAAATCGTGTGGTTTGGTCGATTCCGTATGAACGAAACTTCATTGGCGATGTGATGCCAAGCGCTTACGTGCAAAGGGTGCTTGCCGCAAGGATGGATCTAGCCTGCAGCGTTGGTACGCCCGAGACTAACGACGCTTTGTTACATGTCTAGGGCCGTCGGTAGCTGTTGGTGACACGCTTCAGTTTGTAGGCCTCACTCGATCGTGGCACGTTGTGGCACAGCCATCGACGGTGACCAAAATCGATCGGCTCGTGCTACCGGCATCGTCAACGCCGTACTTTCGTCCGGGGAACGTCCGCGTATGGAGTTTCGATCAAATTGCGACGATCTCGGGGCCGTTGGGCGGCGTCCTCACCGACCCATCCACGGGCCATGTCAAAGCGCTGTGGCTTCAGTTTTGCCACGGATTCGAAGACGACCACTCGCCCATCATCCGACATTACGGGGCACCTATTCCATTGCTCGAAAACGCGATCGGGTGGTGCGATCGGGATGCGATTCCGGCCATGGTCAAAGTGGTGCCGATTGAATTTGGCACGACCAAGTTGTCTACTGCACGGGACGGCCTCGGCCTGTCGTCCGAGTGGATCCATCGACTCGAGACCAAGCACCGTCGCGACAACACGAGGTATATTCTCACCGTGACGCGGTGCTTGGCCGGGTCGCAAGCCAGCACGGAGCTGTGCAGCGGCGACCTCATCTTGTCCGTCAACGGCGACGTTGTTGCCAACGAATCCGACTTGTCCGTGTGGTGCGACGACGATGTGGCTAGCGTCGAGGTCGTGGTGCTTCGAAACAAAGTGGCCGTGACCCTGCCTGCCGTCGAGGCGGAACGACTCGGTACCATGGGCACCACCCACGTCATTGTGTGGTGTGGTCTCGTGATCCAGCCGCCGCCGCTGGCCGTCCTTCAAATGGGGTTCGTCCACACGGGGGTGTACATTGCCCAAGTGTACGCTGGCACCCCCGCCGACAAGTGCGCTGTCTATACCCAGCGCTTTCTTGTCGAAGTCAACGATATCCCAACCCCGACCATGGAGGCGTTCGTGGCGGCCGTCCGCGGACTCGGCCACCACGCGTCGGCGCGCCTCAAGACCATCTCGCTCAACACACGCGTGCGTATGTTTACACTCAAGACGGAATACCACTACAACCCCACCGTCGAGTACAAGTACGAGGACGACCTGCGAAGGTGGTCCATTACCAAGTGGTAGCGTGGATCCAGCGACGATCGGCGAGTGCCGGCGCTCTTCCGACGGTCGCGGCTAGTGCGAGCATAAAAACAACCATCGCAAGGTCGTGTGAATCGCGTGATGATACGATGATGGGACATGCGTTCTGTAACAAGTACATCCTGGTCGGTGTGTGGGGCGGATCCCTGGCGCGGTCGGACGCGTCGTGTGGTAAGAGCCCTGCGAAGAGGGGGGGGGCGATGAAGTCGTCGAGAAAGAGATCCTTGGGGTTTTTTGGATCGATGTCAAGTGTCCCTTGAGTAAAACACAACGACTGACGGCCAACAGATTGCACTTGCCAAGGCTTTGCTGGAGTGGCAGAGTGGGCATGCACATTGTCCATCTCGACGACAACCATGACTCTTCAATCACGCCAAGCAGGCATTCCTTTCGCCACGGAGAACTGGCGCTCGTGCAGGTGTACGTGACCAAGCTCTCTGATCAAGTTGCCTGGGGCTAGTGCCCCCATGCGCCCATTTCCCTCCACACACCGGTGCGAACGATGATATCCGTGTTGGCAAGACGATGGCGTCACAGCCGCGCTCCTGACGTGTGCTGCGGCCAAACCCAGACCGTGTCGTTGGCACATCAAAATCTTTGTGTGGCCATAACTGGAGGGCTACGACCAGCACCCCCTTGTAGCTTTTCGTCCATTCGGCGGCATCTCATAAACTCGTGGACACGTCGCTCTGCACCGTCGTGCCATCCGTGCACGTTGATTTGTGTTTGCGGACGATAGCCTCTGCCTCGTCTTTGGGCTCTGGATTCATGGCCAGCCGGTCGTGGACTGTCTGTCACCCAGCTGCGTCCAGCGACACTCACCTCGCCTGAGGAGACGCATCCATAACGTACCACCGTGCAAGGCTCGAGTTTGCCGCGCTGGCGGCACAGGGCGCCGTCCGAATCACGTCGTTGTGGTGCAATTGCTGCACCGGCCTGGCACATCATGTCGCGTTGGACAACGGGGCTGCTTCCCCGCCAGTGGCCTCTCGTGTCGGACGGTGGGACGTTCCAATTGAAGTACAACAGGACGGCGACATCTGCGGTCGCATCTTGAGCGTCCAAGGACCAGTCCGTGCCGTTGACGCCGCCCAATACTACATTTCAAGACGGTCGTCAACGATGGCAGTAGGGGACATTGCTCGCGGCGGGTCGCCCCAGCCACACCGCCGACACCTCTACACAACCTACGACAGCGTTGAAGATACACGGCTCATCATCTCGATGTGCCTGAGCGTGGTTCTAGTCGCGGCGGGCGTGCGCGTGACCGATTTCGGCGTCAAGTCGATGCAGCTATCTGTGTTTCTGTCGACCCTGGCCGTCGCATCCATGGCGCTTGTATTTGTGGACAACATTTGGATCGCGGTGCTCGTCGCATGTGCTCTCGGAATTGTCCTGTCCATCGTCCCAGCGCTGTGCAGGCGGTGCAGCGTTCTTGTCGTTGGGATGGGGTTTGGCGCGACGGTGGTCAGTTTGGTGTACACACTGGTCCTTGAACTTTTGGACGAGCGAACGATCGAGGTCGATGTCGGCGCGGCAACCACGACGGTCATCGTTGCGAGCATATGTGGCCACCGTGCGTTGGAGCGGGACATGGCTTATCTCATCGCGGCCACCAGTTGTACAGGCGCGTTCACGGTGTCTACCGCAATTGCCGCCGGCGTCCATGCCCTCGGACGCCAAAGCACCATGGCGATATTTAAGTTTGTCTTGGGCGCGGCCTTGATGGCTGGCGACATCGTGTTTCAAAAGGCACGGATGGTGGCGGCTGCGAGGACGCAAGTCCAGGTTGCCACGCCCGTTGACGACGGCATCGCTTAATCAATCGAATGTATCACTCTTTGCTGCAGCGGCCAGTGAGGTATCCCGCTTGAATTATTAGTGATCACGTTGACCAGACGATTACAACTTCATTCGTTCAAGCGAGAGGATGTAGCCCCTTCCTCACGATCGATCCGCGGCGAGATCATCACAACGTGCCGCTTCTTGCAACCGCTAACGCTGCACTGTCGTGCCAGCCACGTGCGTGCGAGCCACACGGCGAACTTAGTTCTTGCGTCCAGTCATGCCTGTTTCGACGCAATACATCTCTTTTAAGCAGCTCAACAACAAATCCTGATGCGTGAGACGCACTCGTACGACGACAAGACATCAAGCGTATCAAGGAGCAGTGCGCATTCAGCCATGCCCGATCACCAGTGGAGAATTTGCGTTGGGTCGTTTCCACGCGTGGCTGGCGGACGGGCCACAGCCTCTAGCGCGACGAACGGGCCCCTACGCCGTTGGGCTTTTGGACTTTGCTGGTTGCGTGGAAGTTGACGTATTTGAAGTCATCGTGCCGGTATGAGGTGTTGGGGTGACAGAAGTCGTAGATCGTCACGACCCGTTTCGCCATGTAGCACACGAGGGCTGCCATAAGGACCCAGAAGCTCACGTCCCACACGTTTACTTTACCACTTGCGCTTCGTTCGTTGTTGTCGCTCCCAGCAACTTTGACTGCGAGGCTGACGAGCACAAAGGATTGGCAGGCGAATCGAGGCATGTTGATTTGATTCGTAGCTCCCTCGTCAAA